TGGCACAGGATAGAGCACGGTTTAGGGCTGTTGTACATAGGGTTGCTATGAGTCGCAAACGACTCGACAGCACATAACAACAACAACAACAGTTTGATGCTCCCAAACCTTTACCACTGGAACTCTTAAATAACTCTGTATATGTTACATTTGATTAGATTATTACTAGAGATTTGTATTTACTTATCAAATTTAGTAAATTAATACTATGAATGAAAAAAAAAGGTGAAGTGGGAGGCAAAGCGCTCCCTGACCTCAAAGCCTACTACACAGCAGTAGTAATCGAAACAGGATGGTACAGGTACAATGATAAGCACATAGGCTAATGGAATAGATTTGAAAACCCAGAATTGAGCCCAGATATCTATGACCAACTGATATTTGACAAGGAAATATAATCTATGAAATGGGGAAATCTCTTCAACAAATGGTGCTGGGAAAATTGGATTGCTACCTGCAGTAAAAATTTTTTTTAAAAAAAAATGGTTTTTGTCAAACCTTCTTAGTGGAATAGCACTGGTCTGTGCACTGCTGTACAGAAGTAACTCGTGGTTGTTGTGATGCTAAACACTGTGACATTGATGTGCCAAATGTGATAACGGTTACTCATGGTGGACAGTGTTTGGTAGAGCTTTCCGATTAAAACAAGCTTGGAAGCAGGAAGGACATCCACTTCTGAAATGGTTTGCCACTGGAAACTCTATGAACAGTGCTCAGATCTTTTGTTCACAGGGTCGCTATGAGTCATCTACAACTTGACAGCACTTAACAACAGCAACAACAACAACAACAATCTGCAGTAAGCAGAAACAGGATTCACACCTTACACCATACACAAAGATCAACTCAAGGTGGATTAGAGATGTGGGCATAAAGTCCAAAACCGTAAAGTTCATCAGAGACAAACTAGATCAAACTTAGACAGCCTAATCTATGGTATAAAGAGACAGTCAAAGGCAACCAGAAATGCATACTCTAGAGAGGATAATATTAATAAATGAGACTTTCTAAAGAAAATCTCTGTGCATATCACAAACATTTCCGAAAGAGTGAAAACAAAACTTACTGACTGTAAAAAAAAAATTTGGCAATACCATTTCAAGACAAGGGTCTCATATCAAAAGTTTACAGAATCCTACAGGGCTTCTACAAGAAAAAGACTGATAACACAATTACAAAATGGGTAAAAGACAGGGAAATACTTTTCAAAGGGGAAGATATTTGGATGGTTCACAGACACATGAAGAAATGCTCAAAATCACTGGCAATCAGAGAGATGCAAATCAAAACCAGTGAGATACCATCTCACTAACATTCCAGAAACAGTGGCAAAGTTTAACAGGACAGCAAGTAATAAGTTTTGGAGAGGATATGGAGAGACAGGAATTCTTATACACTGTTGGCAGAATTGTAAAATGGCACAATCACTCTAGAAGGCCATTTGGCATTTCCTCAAACAGCTGAACATAGAAATTGCATATGACTCAGCTATTCTACTACTAGGAATATGCTGTGTTGTTGTTGATTGTCATTGAGTCAAGCATGACTCACAGTGACCCTATGAACAAAAGGCCTGAAGCCTTTCAAATAACTGTCATCACTTATCAAAGTTCAGTTTCCAGAGGCATGTTGTTTAGGAAGTGCATGCCACTCCTGCTTCCAAGCTAGGAATATAAACTAAGGAAATTAGAACTGAGACACAAATGGAGATTTGTACACCAATGTTCAAAGCAGTGTTATTCACACAATAGCAAGAAAATGAAATCTGCCCAAATGTCCATCACCCTTCTTTTCTGAGTTGTTCCTCCATCAGAAATATAAACTCAATGGCCCCTAAAGTCACTATCTAATCTTTTGAGGTGCTTTTGTCTATATGATCCTCCATAGACAGATCTTTAAAAGAGTATAATTCTCAAGGTAGGTATATTTTAATGAGTCCACAGAAACTATTATTCTGATTTAAGATGACTTTAGGAGCTATTTTTTATGTAAAGTTTAAATATTACCTCAGGGCAACTATTTCAAAGGTTCATCTACTCTCCGTGGCTACTGAAAATGTAAAGTCCATGGGAATTTCAAATTCTGTTTTGCATTTCCCTCTTTTTGGCCAGGATATATGGGATATTCAATCAAAATGTTCAGTAATGGAAGTCAGGCACCATATAGATCCTGGTCTCATGGCAAAAGAGGTAGTTATACATGGATGCAATCAGCCACACATCCCATCTCTTCTTATTTCTGTCTCTCACCCTTCAGGTGACTAGAGAACACTTATTTTGTCTTAGATGGGAAGACCTTAAAGATACGCAATGATCACTAAAGAAATTATTTGGCCAATTAATCGGGATGTCCGATGAAAACATGACCCTAATCTTCCAAACCAAGAAAATAAATCCTATCAGGTATTTGACTGTACAGAACAGAACAACTTCTTATCAAAATAAGACTCCCAAAGATCATCTGAATCCCACAGCAAGTGAGAAAGAGTAATGATCAGAGTTCTTCAGTTACCTGGTTCTAATCTTTGTCCATGGTGAAGCCCTGTTAGGTTTCCTTAAACTCCAACACATAATAGCCTATATTTGTTGTTCTTCTTTTAAGGTAGAATTTTATGACTTGGATCAAAATAGCCTAACTAAACAAGAGCAAGCTTCAATTTAAAATTTGGAATGTTTAAGGTACCCAATTCAAAAGCAGAATAATGGTTTTTTAAAGTGCATTGAAATATTAAAACCCCTAATCAAAGCTATTCATGAATATCACCCATTCTGAATCACAGAATTTGAGCCAAAATATATTCAGAAAGAATTCAGAATATAATTCATGTAGAAATTACCATTCTCAATACTGTGTGCGAAATTAAAACTGCATTTAACTAAATTTTCCTTGACAGCGGTTTTCAAACCTATTTTAGGCAACAGAACACTTGCTTCAAGTGAAGTCTTAGGTTCACGTCCAAAAAATGCAAAGCAGAGATGACAAATCCATTCTGGTTGCAGCATGTCTGTGTGGGGTATGGGCACAGGGATGAGCTTGCAGGCAGAAAACTGTGCTTAAAGCCAACCTCCCTCATGTCAGAGACCCCTTAAAACATCACTGAGAAATCCAGTGGGTTGCATAAATAAAAGCCTGAAAACCACTGTGCTAAAAAAAAAGCATCTTTACTATTACAATCAAAACAGAGAATCAATCACATTTCTATTTACCTGTGAGCTTTAAAACTTTTTCCATCAACATAAATATCAATATCTGGGCAACACTGGTTCACATAAAGTTTCAATAAATCTTCTCCTAATTCAGATGCAGGTTCCAAGTTATAAATATCTTTAAAGGAAAAAAAAACATTTACTAAAAAAAGTATTTTCTCAAACAGGTCAAAATTTTGTATTCTAATAATAACAAAGGTAGCTCTAATAGCCTAGTAGGTAAAAGTTATGCTTTCAATCCAAAGGCAGGAGGTTCAAATTAATCAGGTGCATTGAAGGAAAAATAATCTTCCTGTAAGATTTACAAACCTCTAAAAATCTGCTGGAGAGTCAGCTCTGACTCAACAGCACATTACAGTAACAACAATATTTTTTTTTTTTTTTAGTAACAACAATATTAACAAAATGTTTCTCCACAGAATTAACTCAATTAGCTGATATGAGAGTGAGCACTCGTAGATAAAATATTTACATGGTAAAACTTGAATAAAATTTTCAAATATTTGTACTTTCTGATTTGGAATATATCTTATATTTGCACTTAAGTACAGACTTATCTTTAAATATACACACATTTAAATATAGGGAACAGTATCATAAAGTTGATTCTTCTAGGTGGTATAGCACTGGTCTGTGCATTGCTGTACAGAGGTAACTCGTGGTTGCTGTGATGCTGAAGACTGTGACAGTGATGTGCCAGTCATGGTAATGGGTACCCATGGTGGACAGTACTGGCTGGAGCTTCCCGACTAAATCAAGCCTGGAAGCAGGAGCGGCGTCCACTTCCGAAATGGCTTGCCTCCGGAAACTCTATGCATGAACAGTGTTCAGGCCGTTCATTCATAGGGTCACTATGAGTCATCTACGACTCGACGGCATCAAACAACAACAACAACAACATCATAAAGTTGTATATCAAAACTGAAGTTAATTCTTAAATGTCTCACTTAGAAAATCTTCCAGTTGTCTTTTTTTTTCCAATACTTAATTCCTTCCTACTTCATGAGTATGTAGCTAACATAATCTGTGGTGGACTGACAGAAATTGAATTTAAATCAGTAAGTCTGTAGAAAGAATTCAGTATGATTTTAGTATTGTATGATAATTTGGAAAAGCACAGAAAATAAGTGTTTTTTAAAACTATCTTTACTTATAAACTGTGCAACAATGAAAGAATCTTTCTAAAGAGAGGGGGGCAGGTGGATAGGGAATGAAATGTGCAACAATGAACAAATGGAAAACCAAGTTTTCTGTAAACTTTCATTAAAATAGCAATAAAAAAACCCAAAATAATTAAAAAAAACCCTCTTTACTTAGAAAAAGATTCATGGACAACCTGTAACATGTTGTTGTTGGTATGTGCTGTCACTTGAGACTAACAGCGACCCTATGTACAACAGCCCTAAACTCTGTTGTCTCTGACACATCCACCCCCATTATCCTAGTCACTCAAGCAATCCATCTCATCAAGGGTCTTCCTCTCTTGCACTGTCTCTCTATTCTCCCAAGCATGACATCCCTTGCCAAGAACTGGTCCCTCCTTGCAACATGTTCAAAGTATGTCAGACGAAGCTTCAGAATCCTTGCCTCCAAAGAGCAGCCTGTTCTCACCCTATCTACAATGAATCTGTTCTCCTAACAGTCCATGGCATATTCAATACTCTTCTCCAACACCACAGCTCAAAGGAATCAATTCTCCTTCTATCACCCCTACTCACTGTCCAGCTCTCTGATGCATAGCAAATAATTGCAAAGACTATGGCCTCGATCAGGCCTAACTTTGCTTGCTAAAACTGAAGACTTACTGGTAAATATCAAGACTAACATCTTCAATATGGACTACTTTTCAACATAAAATAAAATCCTCACAACTAGACCAGGAAGTAACATTGTGATAAAGAAAAGACTGAAGTTAAGAAGGATTTCATTATACTTTGATTCACAATAAATGCCCATACAAGCCTTAGGCAAGCAATCAAAGGATGTATTAGACAAATTTATGACAAAGAATCTCTTTAAAGTGCTAAAATATTAAGAGTGTCAACATTCAGGTCTAAAATGCCCTTGATGTAAGCCATAGAATTTTCAATTACCTCAAGCACATGTGAAAGCTGGACAATGACTAAGGAAGACTGAGGGAGAAATGATACCTTTTGAATTGTTATATTTGCAAAGAATATTGAACATGGACTGCCAAAAGTATAAAGAAACTTGTTTTGGAAGAAGGTCTTCCAGAATGCTCATTGGAAATAAGAATGGCAGGACTTTTATCTCACATACTTCGGGCATATTAGCAGGAAGGACCAGCCTCTGGGAAATGGTATCTTAGTAGGTAAAACAGGGGGTCAGTGAAAAAAAGGAGGACCCTTAAACAGACAGACTGACACAGTGTCTACAACAATGGGTTTACATACAGTAGCAAGTGAGAGAATAGCAAAGACTACACAATGGTTCCTTCTGTTGTAAATAAAGTTGCTATGAGGGAGAGCCACTCAAAAGAAACTGACAACAATAGCAACAATAACTTTGAAAAAAATCCATCATTAGGCAGTAGAAAGAGACAGATAAAACATGAATACCTATAAAGGAAGGAAGATAACTTCTGTACTGTCTAAAAGAGCTACAAAATTGATAAACTTTATCTAGTCAGAACACCAGATGAGGATCAATCACTGAGAACAAATTCTCAATTACCAAACTTACATGCTCAGGGAACAGTTGAAAATTCCAGTATTGGCTTACCTTCTAAAAAGATTCAGAATTCAATCACTTGCCACAATTTACAACCAAGCTACCAGTATGAGAAACACCACTAGGTTAATAAAGAAAACTACACCCAGCTGACCAGTAGCCAGGAAATCAAAAAACGTATTGCAATGGGAAAGTATACAGTTAGGGACCTCTCTAAAGTACTCAAGAGCAACGGTGTCTCTCTGGAGACTAAGGTCCGCAGGCCATGGTTTTTGCAATCACTTGTTATGCATCAGAGAGTTGGACAATGACTATGGAGGATAGAAGGAGAATTTGCGCCTTTGAGCTGTGGTGCTGGAGAAGAGTATTGAATGTACCATGGACTGCCAAGAAAACAAACAGATTCATCCTGGAGAGGGTTAAACCAGGCTGCTCCTTGGAGGCTAGGATTCTGGGGCTTCGTCTGACATACTTTGGACATGTTGTAAGGAGAGACAGGTCTTTGGAGAGGGACATCATGCTGGGTAGAGTGGAGGGACAGCACAGGAGTGGAAGACCCTCTATGAGGTGGATTGATTCTGTGACTGGGGTAATCGAGATGGGTGTCAGAGGCAATGAGATTGGCACAGAACAGAGCACGGTTTAGGGCTGTTGTACACAGGGTGGCTATGAGTCGCAAACGATTCGACGGCACATAACAACAACACACCCAGCTGAGCCAAACTATGTATGATTATTCCCCACAACACACACCCTCTCATAAATATCTCTCAGATATCTCAGTTCACAGACAGCTTATATGGCCTGGTGGGTAACGTGTTGTTACACTGTCAACGCAAAGGCAAGTGGTTTGAATCAACCAGATATACTTTGGTGGAAGAAAGATGGTCAATCTCCACACACCTCTCAAAATCTGCTGAAAGGTCAGCTATGAGTTGGTTTCACCTCAATAACAATGAAGAACAATTACCTAAGTTTACTACATGTGTTACAAGACATATCCGTTTACATGTGTTGTTGTTGTTGTTATGTGCCACTGAGTCACTGGCAACTCAGAGCGATGCAATACACAACAGCCCTAAACCCTGCTCTATCCTTTGCCAATCTCATTGTCTCCGACACACCTACTCCCAATTTCCCTGGTCACTGAATTTATCCATCTCACCGAGAGTCTTCCTCTCTTGCATTGTTCTTCTCCAGTCTCCCAAGCATGACTTCTCTCTCCAAAGAATGGTCCTTACTTGCAACATGCCCAAAGTATGTCAGATGAAGCTTCAGAATCCTTGCTTCGAAGGAGCGGCCTGGTTTCACCCTCTCCAGGATTAACCTGTTTGTTCTCTTAGCAATCCATGTATATTCAATACTTTTCTCCAGCACCACAGCTCAAAGCCATCAATTCTCCTTCTATGATCCCTAGTCACTGTCCAGCTCTTTGATGCATAGCAAGTGACTGCAAAAACCATGGACTGTATCAGGTGCACCTTGGTCTCTAGAGTGACACTGTTGCTCTTCAGTACTTTGGAGAGGTCCCTGACAGCAGACTTTCCCAATAAAATTCATCTCTTGATTTCCTGGCTGCTGGTACCAAAATTGTTGACTATGGAGCCAAGCAAACTAAAGCTGTGAACAATCCCAATCTCTTCACCATCTATCATGATGCTGCCAATCGGCCCAGTGGTGAGAATCTTTGTTTCCTTGATGCTGAGCTTCACTCCATATTGAAGGCTGCAGTCCTTGATATTCTGCAGCAAGCACTTCAGTCCTCCTCAGTTTCAGCAAGCAGGGAACAGGCCACCAACTACTCATATGCAAGTTCAAGCTGAAGCTACAGAAAATTAACTCAAATCCACAGGAACCAAAATATGGCCTTGAAGCTATCCCACCTGAATTTTTAAACCATCTCAGGAACAAGTTTGAGGCCTTGAACACTAATCAGTGAAGACCAGGTGAGCTGTGGGAGGATACCAAGAATATCATACAGGACGACTGCAGGGAGTCATTACAATAATAAACGAGGAAGAAAAGACCACCATGGATGTCAGAAGAGACTCTGAATACTGCATTAGAGTGCTGAGAAACCAAAGCAAAGCAAAGCAATCACGGGATTAAAGAGGTGAACAGAAGATTTCAAAGGGCAGTACAGGGAGACAAAGTATTATAATAAAATGTGCAAAGAGCTGGAATGAGAAAATCAAAGGGGTCGAACTTGCTCAGAATTTCTTTTTTTTAAATTCATTTTAATGAAAGTTTACAGAGACTTTGAATTTTCATTCATTCACTGTTGTACTTTTCTCCCTGTCCAAACTCCCCCAGTTTGCTCTTCTCTTTGAAAAGTAAAAGTAAAATTCTTTTATTGTAATACAATCCTTCCCCACAAGTCCACTCCACTACACAGACTTCGTTCTATACTCCTGTCAGGACAATAATACTTAATACCTAATCATATATCCCTTTTGAAAGTCTCTCCCTCATCTGTTTCAATGCAGTATACATAATTTATCCCATCTTTCTCAATCTCTCCCCAACCCCGATGTCAGTCACATTTTACAATAATGGCACTATGCAGTATTTGTCCTTTTGTGACTAAGATATTTCACTCAGCATAATGTCCTCCAGGGTCACCCACTTTGAATAATATTGCATGAGTTCCTTGTTTTTCAATGCAGCGTAGTATTCCATTGTGTGAATATACCACAGCTTCTCTATCCATTTGTTTGTTGATGGGCACTTAGGTTATTTCCAATTCTTTGCTATTGTGAACAAAGTCACTATAAACATGGGTGTGCATATATCTGCTTGGGTGGTGGTTACAGTTTCTTTGAGATATATTCCCAGTAGTGGAATTGATGGGTCAAATGGTATTTCCATTTGCAACTTTTTAAGAAAGCACCATACTGCCTTCCATAGTAGTTGCACCATTTTACATTCCCACCAAGAGTGAATAAGGGTTCCAGTTTCTCCACAACTTCACCAGCATTTGTTGTTTGGTGTTCTTTTAAATTTTGCTATTCTTACTGGGGTTTTGCTTTGCATCTCTCTTATAACTAGGGATTTTGAACATTTCTTCATGTGTTTGTTTGACATCTTGGGTTGCAATACTTAAGGATGCTCTCTGTAGAATATTAAATGATCCAGGAAGTATTAAAAGAAGATGGAAAGATTATACAGAGTCATTGTATCAAAAGGAATTGGCAGATACAGAAGAATTTCATGAAACAATGTATGAGCAAGAGCCTGTGGTGATCAAGGAAGAAGTTCAAGCTTCTTTGAAAGAATTAGCAAAAACTAAGGCCCCAGAAATTGATGGTATACCAATTGGCATATTTCAATAGATGCTGTCCTAGATGTGCTCATCAAGTTTTGCCAAGAAATCTGGAGGACTGGCCAAATGACTGGATGAGATCTGTATTAGTTCCTATTCCAAAAAAGGGTGACCCGACAGACTACGGAAATTATTGAATAATATTATTAATATCACATGCAATCAAGATTCTGCTGAAGATTATGCAAAAATGACTGGAACAACACATCAACAAAGAACTGCCATAGGAAGAGGCCAGGTTTAGAAGAGGCTGTGGTACTAGGGATATTGTAACTAATGTTAGATGGATCTTGGCTGAAAGCAAAGTGTACCAGGAATGTCTTTGTGTCATTAACTATTCAACGACATTTGGCTGTGTAAACCACAACAAACTGTGGCTAATTCTAGGAAGAATGGGAATCGCACCACATTTGATTGTGCGTATGAAAATCCTACACTTGGACCAGGAGGCAGTCATCATAACAAATTAAGGAAACACTGCATGGTTCAAAAGTGGAAAGGGTGTATGCCAGGGATGTGTCCTAGGTCCATACCTGTTCTATCTAAATGCAGAACAGATTATTTGGGAGGCTGGGCTCTGTGAGGAGAAATGTGTCATCAGGATTGTAAGAAGACTCATCCATTTACTTATGGCATTATAAATTTCCATCTGATTTTGGATAACTAAATATTAGAAAGCTATTTTTCTAGAAATATATTTGTATTTCTGCACAGTGTGGGCTTTCTGGGAAGGACAGAGGCAAACTTGGTTAAGGAAAGACTGAATAGCAGATATGCCTCAGGATGTAAGGATAATGCTCCAGAAATCTTTAGAATATAACAAGGTGAGGCATCTATAGACTTTCTAACCTTTTCAAAGATTACTTTGCAAAGTAAAATCTCTCTTTCTAGCAGGGATGATAGGCAGATGTGTTAGCAGCCTATATATAAATGCTCAGTCTCTCCTAATTTTGGTTCCTCCCCTACAGTGAAATCCTACTGCACATGCAGGGTAACAGCAGACTTTACTGTATAACCTCACTGAGATGAAGGTTTAGAAAATGGTGCTAAGATGGCCTGCTCTCTGATCCAAAAGCCTTCTGTTGCTTCTCAAAATAGTTCTTGTTATCAATTCTTTGTTTTTATGTATTTATATGCTTAAAATCTTTCTTTCACTAATTCATAAGTTTATGATTATTATGTTCATTATTAAGTTTATTATATTTCTTATAATGTCCACTTTCACAAGCAAATGACAAATATTTTGCAAGGCAAAAAAGTATCACACTTATTGTATTCTTTATGTATGTTAAGTACATACATAAATGTATTCCTATGTGTAAAACAGTATGGTACTCTGTATTTATGTATTTAATATACATACAGCTATGCTCTTATTGTTATTGGTTTATATGTCCTGACAAAGTTTTCATGTATTTGAACTGCACTCATAACCATTTCTTCCTTTCTTTTTTTTTTTCTAAGTAACATATATTGTGTTAGAAATTGACTCTGTGGGTCTAATAAAGCCTCTTCACGGTGTACAGTAAGGATGATAACGTGGAAGCTTGAATGGTTAAAAGGAGAAGTATAAATCCTGTGTGTGGGTTTATCCACAATAACCTCATCTTCAATTACTTGAGAAAACAGGGAGTTGATCATACCAACATTTTAATTTCCCCATGCTTATATAAAATAATCAGTAGAGCAGATTTATGAAATTAGCTTTCCCTAATAATATAAGTATATAATTACTTTCATGCCTATAAAATTTTATAAAAACCCATTAAAAATACTTCACCAGGAGAAACCAAACTATCCTCTCTGCAGCTGCTATCTTCTGAAACTTTATTCTTCAGAAGGGGACAATCAGGTCATTTTTTTACCTGAGAATTCTACATCATTGTCCATAAACGTTCCAAGATTTAAGTCTGGTTTCTTTGATGGTAACCCACTCTCCAGTATCTTTCTATTAAGAATTTCCTCCTCATAGATTTTCATGTTTCTGTTTGATGAATATACCATCCTAGAAGACAAAATGCAATATACTTAATTAAAATAATGCCAACGAGTTATGAACATACGGCTTTTGTATTATAATTACATAATATTAAAACCTTTAAAATAAGAACTAAGAGGAAAAAATGACAATTTTTGTTGCTCTTTGTGGTGCTATTTTTTTAGAAAGTGAAATTAAAAATAGAAGAATGTTTGAAAGGTGGGCTATAAATTTTCTGGATGTTAAAACATTAAATTATCAGGAGTTTTAAAAATAGACTTTATCTAACACAATTCCCTATGTTTTGTTTTTCTTTTCGATTAATTATTTTTTTTTTAACTCGGGCCTAGAAATTCCATTTTTTCTTATCTCCCTACCCCTCAATTTAGAGCTAAACAATAAAGATGAAAATTATTTTTTATTTGAAATTGTTGTTGATTGTCTTCGAGTCGAGCATGACTCACAGCGACCCTATGAACAAAAGGCCTGAAGGCCCTCTACAACTATCAACATTTCTCAAAGTTCATGGAGTTTCTGGAGGCAAGTTGTTTACATTTTAAAACGTTACAATAACTAGTTAGATAACCTAGATGAGATGGAAACATTTCTAGAAAGAAATTACAAAAAAATATTCAAGAGGAAGTTGAGTATCTCAACAGACCTACATACAACAGGTGAAGAGATTAAACAATAATTTAAAAAAACCTCCCAAAAAGCAAAAGTCCATGACTAGATAGATGCCTTCACCAATAAATCCTCTCAATTAACTTTAGAATTACATCAATCTTTCCCAACCTCTTCTGAAAACTCAAGAAAGGATTGATCACTTCCTAACTAGTTCTGTAAGGAACAGAAAAAGACAATGTAAGCAATGAAAACTACAGACCAAACCCAGGCCCTGACAGGCACCTGGGGGGGAAAAAA